GAAATGGTGTAGCATTGTACTGATACTACATCATTATCACTAAGACCTTTCCAAAGACTGGCCAATCCTTGTCGTTGGCAGGACAGTCTGCCCGGGAAATAGAGAGTTTCAGTGCAAGTAATGGAATGAATGGGTATGCCAGTGAAGTCAATCGAAGATGATTCTTTACCTTGGGATTCGGATGTGACAGGGCGGGAGCAGAGAGGAACTTTACCTTCTTATTTTTGGAGGTATTGCTATCTGAGTAAGGGGCTGTAGGTCGGAGATTAGGTTTGCCCAGGCATTCATAAAGCCGGACAAACAACTCTTATGTTGTTTTCTCTCCTGTTACATCGTATTTGCAGTTGTATGCCTATGTGCCCGCCTGTGTGGACAGACCGTAATATATGGGTGATCCCCAGCGTTGTACTGGTCTTCGTCTCCAAAGCTCCCTGGCGGTAACAACAGGGATGGAATTGGGGGTAAGGTGGGGGTGGGGGGTAACATTCTAATGAAATCCCCCAGGAACTTGTAATCTTTAAAACAAAATGTTTTATTTATTTTAATATTATCATACAGTTTTGGAATTATTCTTGCTTGCAACAAAGAATATTGAAAACAAAGAATAGGGAAAATTTATTCAAACTTGCAGAGTAGGAGTTACTAACTAGGGTAGTAAAATAATCTTAGGTTGAAATATTTATTAATTCAAGACTGTGAATAACAAACAAATCCATATCAATACAATGAATTTATAGGTCATTTGGTCACTGAATAACAAACAAATTCAGTACCTTATCCAAACGAACAAAAAAATTATATCAATATATTATAGACAATTTTCAACAAGAAAATTACTTTTACTTGACGAGTATTTTCTTTCCATAGGCGCAACTACATAATATATGATGCATACAGTGTACCATTATATATATATATATCTGTTCTATATTATGGAATCCCTGATATGGATCTTAGGAAGCAAACTATTGTAAGTATTCAGTAATGCAAAATCGTAAAACCTTTCATAAAGATTTTCTCTACAAAAGCTGCTGACAACAACATATGTTAAAGGTGAAGATAGGTTATATCCTTTAAGTATTTCTATAAAACTACTTCTATAAAACTACCAATAGAGACAAGAATAGCAAAACCCACTTCCAAGTTAATGTTATTAAAATTCAATAATAAAGAAAAAAACAAGGAAATAGAAGCCGGTTAAGGTGTAGGAGGATGTTTGAGCAAGTCATTCTCTTCTTGTCTACTTCTGATGTTTAAAAATAGCTAAAAATGCCTTTTTTTACCCATTATTATAATTTTGCATATTGACTTCTTGCAATTGTTTTAGGTCATCATATGTAGAAACACTTGATATATACTTTTGTTAATCAAAATTATAATGTCTGATATCTCAGTCAGGATGTAGATTTTTAATAAAAGTTTTAACTTAAAAAACTGAAAAATTATAAGAAAATACAATTGGATACTGAATTCTTCTTCATCCTAGTCCTGGATATGTCTTTTATGATAATATCTGAGTCTGTACTGGCCAGGATTTAAATCTAAAATGCTTGAATAGCTGATATAGCAACATTTAATGGCATTTAATCTAAGATTTTCATTAGACCAAGTCTAAGAAAATTAGACAATATATTTGTACAACACAAACACAACACATAAGCAAATACAGGTACCATTACCCTGTTATGACTATGATAACAAACAACCACAATACCAGAGTAATACCACTTAAGCAGACTCAAGGCCTTTCCTGAGTTTGGCAATACTTTGCAGGACGACTTGTTTAAGCTTTTCCTATTTACAGCTTTTATTTGCCTTTTAGTAAAATAGAGCAAAACTTACAATATCTATAAATTTACTATTGCAAAATCACAAGTGTTACACAGCCAACTTTCCACTGCTTAGCCAAATTTAATTGTACACATTTCATGTTATGAATCTGATTTGGCTTACAAGCAGATCTGCGGTTGATTATACCAGAATGCATATACAGTTCCTAGATTCATAACATCTACTTGTTTATGACTACGTATGCATGTCAGCCCTACTGTTTTTGTATGGATGGTAGATTCATTACCCTCATTTCATTGACTTTCCTTCATCTGACGGTTTTTGTTCCAGCAGCTTCTCCTTGTCACTGTTGACAAAATCTTCGTCTAGTAGTTCTCCTTCTTCTTCATCACTTTCTTCTTTCTCTAAGGTTTCTAGCTCTGCATCAGGTGACTCTGTTTCTTCTCTTAACATTTGTTCTTCATCTTCAGCTGGACCCTTTTCTTCCACCTTTGGGCTTGCTTTCAAAACTTTCGTTTCTTCCACTTGAATATCTTCTACCAAAACTGCCTCTTCTTCCACCATTACTGCTTCTGCATCTTGCCCTTCAACAAAGCCATTATCATCTTCCAGGGATGCCGTTCCAGGGCCTCCCTCCCCAACAAGAGCCATAGACACATCCCATAGTTTGGCAGCAGTGTCAGGATCTTCTGCAACGGCTTCCAGTTTGTCAATTTTGCACTCACGTAAGAATCCCCATTCCACACCATCCAATTCCTCTGATACAGCACAGTGGATAGTAGTTTGGGCTCCCTGTTAAAAAAAAGTTATCACAATAATTATTGGTATGGTATGAAAAAAATCATGTATATGCAGAAAATCCATTTAAATGTGACTATGTAACACTAACCCTTACTTTATGCATGTCAGCAACTTTGAAAGATTCTGTACTGTTGCTACACTACTCTATGGTAAAATCAATTTTCAAAAAGGGAAAAAAGTGTACCCAGGACATCGGTCTGTCTGATGAAACATGTACAAATTCAGCATCAAAAATGAAAAATAAAAAACAGTCATTTAATCACACTCACAAATTGCAGTAGTAAAATGTATCAATTAGTTTTGAAAGCCAGAGTATGAATCATTCAGCTACAGCAGAACTCAAGTACCTCTAGTAATATGTATTTAGACAGAAGGAATTTCCTTTGAAGGTGAAAAGTTTTTATAAGTTATATCAACTATAATTTGTTAAGACTATATTCTTCTTTCTTTAGCTTTCTTACCTGCTTAGGAGTCCTCATGAACAGGAAAACAATAGGAGCAAAGCACATTTTTTTGAACCAACTGAACTTCTGGGCACTATATCTCATGAGCCCAGTGTACACAAAGCCAGGACACAAAACAAATACTCCTGTCCCTGTGCCTGAAAAGTAGAATAATAACAATAAGTACATAGATATATCTACAAAGTGCTGTTCCTGTGGCAGTTGCAGAAAATAATCTAATAGTAGCAAACTAAAGCACATAAAATTAAACTAATATGAAGGTAGGTCAGAAAATTTCCGGAAGTGACAAGTATATGCTTGTAATCATGTTGAAGTAAAATTCTGGCTCCACTCCTGACAGCTAGTAGATGCATAAGATTTTAGCTCAGTACACTCAGACATAGTAAGACCTTGCAGATGGCATGGTCAAAACAGCTGTAGTCCACCAGACAAGACTTAAAAGTACTGATTTTCTATAATTTCTGCATGGGCATCTTGAACAACCATTTACCCCTAGTTTGATAGATTTAAAAGAGGTGTCCTTTCAAATCGAGGAGAACACTACCAGATGTCAGGTGACACCTCATCAAGTCAGTCCAAATCGCCCAGATGAGGTCTTCTGTGCCTGATTGTGAGCCAGACAACTGCCCAGGTGCAGGGAGGAGTCCCCCCAAAATTCCAACTGTCATTAATGGGTAAAAGATGACCTATGGAAGGATGCTCAAGAACAGCTGTCATACTAGAGAACATTGTTACTTATCTAAACTGATGCAAAATGATTCCAGAATATCTGTTTCCGAGATTCAGGGGACTCTAAACAGTGGAAAGGTCATGAGACCATTTTGTGGCAGCTGGGATGATGCATGGTAAGCCTAGCCAATAGTGTATTAGTGGAACAGCACTTCTGCATCACCATTCATTATGAGAAATTTTACATATCATAAATGGATTAAAAAACAAACTTGATAAGGTAAAGAGATGTAACTGCAGGATCCACTACATTCTCATTCTTGAACAGAAACAGACCACAATAAACTGGGCTATGATACAGATGACCAGGGTCATTGGAGAGGCTCATAGGGATGTGCAATGAACTGTTAAGTGTGATGAACCCTGAATTTATCAGAATGACCTTAGACTCAATGGCAGAAGTAAAGAAGTGTAGCACTGTGGGAAATGTGATGGTATCATCATTATTTTACATGCATGATCACATGCATGAATAGATAATGGTTAATGGTTTACAACCATCTATGTTCTTATACTGCTGGAGAAGCTAAAGAAATAGCCCAGAGGTGGCATCACTGACAATGCATAGGTCATATTCCCTACTGTCCTGACCTGGCTACTTGCAAATTCTATATAAGCCCTAAAACCAAACGAGAGCTGTGTGGAAGATGGTTTCAGAACCCTGAAACTGCTGTGGTAGAGGACACTCGAGTCTCAAAAGCCTGAACTGGGAATCCATGCTTACTCCCACAAGAAGTGGCTTTGGAGGATGCAGCTCTTTGTAGCAACTATTGAGGAGTAGCTTGAAACATTGTAATCATTTCATTTAAATAGATTTTTTTTTCTTTTAGAATCTAGGAACTTTTCTGACTGACATTTGTAAACTACATGTACATATGCAGTCCTAAATCAATATATAAAAACAAATATATATAACTTTTGGTCATGGTGTACAAAATGTGAAATTTCTATGAATAAAAGGCATGTGATAAAAAAAAGTATTGATTTAAACAAGCAATGGATGGTTATATTCTAGAAATTTCTATGTTGAGAGGAAATACATGAAAATCAATACTTGCCTTGCAGTCTCTTGGCCAGTTCTTGGCTATGGAAAATGTTTGCTAGTTTAGAGTTACAGTAGAGGGCATTTCTGACTTTTTTATTCCAGCCTTTATCTGCATCCAGATTATCAAAATCTATCTGCCCACTTTTGTAGAGAAGTGATGACACATTAACAATTCTGTAAGGGTTTGAGTTGGTTATCATTTCATTCTTTTTTTCAACCACTTGTTCGTAAAGCAGTAGTTAATTACACATTGTTTTTTTTTAGATTTCCAAAGTTATAATTTCCAAATACCTGATAATTTACACAATCAAAATTACCTTCAATAAAATTATCTAAAAAATCCTGAAAACACATTTCACTTGAATGTTGCAGTTTTAACACTGAGAGGTTTCTTAATTTCAAATGAAGTAAAAACTATTTAAAATACTGTCACTTGTCATATCCAAAAGAATTGCAACGGTCAATAATAAACTCTAACACAAAATCAACAAACACATACCTAGAGCTGGGTGTTCGCTGAATATGCTGGAAGAGCAGATGCGTGAGAAGAAAGTGACCCAAATGATTTACCCCAAAGTGAACTTCAAAGCCATCCTTAGTCTTCCTTCGCTCTTCTGGGGGGATAAACACTCCACCATTGTTTACCAAGACGTCAAGCTTACTAAACTTCTCCATGAAGTTTGATGCAAATGCCCTGATTGATGCCAGGTCACCCAGATCAAGGTCCATGACAATCTGTGGATATCATATGTTAAATCATTTTAAAGTAACTTGTATAAATATAATAAACAAAATATCTTGCTGTGGAAAACTACTTTGAATTTAAAAATGATTAACGTACAACACAAATACCAAAGAAAGAAAGAAGGAGAAGAAGGAGGAGGAGGAGGAGGAGGAGGAGGAGGAGGAGGAGGAGGAGGAGGAGGAGGAGGAGGAGGAGGAGAGGAGGTGGAGGTAGAGGTAGAGGTGGAGGTAGAGGTGGATACCATCAGTATTGTTAATAACATTAAAGTAATCAGGATGTTAATAATGATAATGATAATAATAATAATAACAATAACTGTATTATGAAATTAAAGATCCCACAAGGAATGAGGAGCTATGATGAGGCCAGGTAGGCTTACAAACTGACATCTTGCATACCAGGTAGGCTACAACCAGCACTTAGTTACAATTTGAAAACCAAAACTCTAATGGATGGCGTATGTACCCAGTGCCAGTGGGTTAAGTCCATTTTAGCAATAAATCAATTCTAATAATTTAATTACGTAACTAAACAAAGTATACTTGCCAAGTCACCATCTCCAGTGGTAGTACGGATGTCTTTCACAGCTTCAAGAGCTGCCTGGCGGTTCCTGCATGCAAGAATTACGATGGCTCCACGACTTGCCAAGTCACGTGCAGTCTCCTTCCCAATACCTGAGTTTGCTCCTGTGATCACAACAACCTGTTGATTTTTCAAAAATTAATATTTGAATTCACCCTGATATTCATAATCTCATTATATTTCAAAGGAAGCTTTCCATCTCAACAGTTAAAATAATACAATCTTAATTATTCAAGCAACATATTGACAAATCTAGAGGCAGTTTCAGATAAAAATAGTGACTACCTTATATATTCAAAATCATAATCTACAGCTTTTAAGAATGAGATGGCTTTATTTCTCCATACTTTTTATTTTCCAATTCTAAGATGATCTTTATCATCAAAATCTTTGCAAATATATATAGAAAGAATAACAAAATTTTACCATAGTATAATATGTTTCCTATGCAAAGATCACCCAAAAACCTTCTTAACCCAGGGGCTTTGATACCCCTACTACAGATCGCCATATTTCCCTGGCCTGTTTGGTCTTTCGTATACATAAACATAAGGGACTGATCCAAGCTTTCTATACCCAGAATATACTAAATGGAGCATTTCCTGGAATTCTGATTGTAAGCCATGCATTAAAGATTACAGTACACCTCAAGTAGATTTGGGTAGAACACAGCTAAGATAATCATAAGAAAACTTTTAATCATCTTATTTCTTATACATATATATTGTTTTTATACCAGTGAAAACAAGCAGGGTGATTTAAGTAAAAAAAATTCTTTTCATTCTCTAGATCAATATCTGCAATATAGCTCATTACTGCCAGACTTCTACATTCAAATGCTATACAACTAATATAAAAGTAGGCATTTCACTCGCAAAAATTTTATCATTACTCAAATTGAATTATAGATATAAGTAATAGTTTCACTTTATGCTGTGTTTGGAACTGCTCGTCCTGCTCGTCCAGACCAGTTGGACAAGATGTCTCTACCGTTCGGAACCTCTTATATCTCCTCTTGGACGAGTTGTCCATCTTGTTCATCTCGCCCTTCTGCGAAGCTGGGCAAGCAGGACAAGATGATGTCACAACTGCTTTTGTATGTAAACATTGAGAGTTGCAGGCAACCACAAGATATTGATAGGTAATTTTATGGCCCTTTATTGATGCTATCTAAAAATATTTTTGTGTTTGTCAGTTGCAGGTAAGTTAAATATGCATCAAAGGAGTTCCAAAACCTGCTGGTCCTGGACAAGTTTTCTGGATGAGCAAGACGAGTTCCGAACGCAGCATTAGGCCTATCATGCAAAACACAGCTCTCGTTCAAGGGCTTCATCTTATTATAT